CCTCTAGTTGGTTCTTTGCACAACTGTTCTCAGGTACAGTCATTTACTATGTTATGCATTTTTTCCTGTTTGCTGCAATCCGAACATGCACTCAGTCAAAGTGAGGGTAACTGAAGTACCCAATATTCATAAACTACATTTATGGGCATTGCAGAATATAGAAAGATTGTAACTAAGAGGTCCCATTGTCTGAATTAGACCATCTAAGAGAGAGGTATGGAAGCTGTGGTTCTCTAGATATTGCTGGACTACAAATCCCATCATCCCTGACCGTTTGCTTTGCTGACTGAAATTGATGGGAGTCTAAAAATGATTATAGGGCCACAGTTCCCCATGCTTGCTCTACGACCTGGATGCAGAGAGAGGGGATTAAGCCAACAGCGGTCAACTGGGAGGGGGGAGTGTATGTCTATGTACCCAAAGAAGGCTGACTCATCACAACAAGACAGATTAAATATCCAAAGCAAGTACCGTAATAAGGCATTGCTTTCTCAGAAAAAAAAGGAGGAGGATGGCCTTTCAGCATCTCTTAGCAACAGGAACAATAAAATGGAGCAGTCAAAATATGAGGTGTCAGCGGGATCTGTCACGCACACAGCATGTGCAGGTTAGCCCCCACCAAACCAACTGAAGGGGCAGAGCTACGATGACAAAAGGGGAAGATTGAGAATGCCAAGTGTTCTGTTGTTTCATCACCTTATGGGATGCAGTGACCTTTGCATTACATAAAGGTGTGGGATGGTGCTCAGAAAAGGGCAGGAAATGGAACACATTTCCAGCTAAGGAAGTTCTCATATAAGAGGCTTAAATCATGAATGTAAACCCAACTTGACAAAAACAGAATTCAGATTCTGATCCACATTCCCTCACACATTATCAGCATACTGTTATGAATTTGTGGGTGCCAGACACCTATAATCCTAGTAAGTGTGAAAAGCTAATTAAGCTAGCTTCTTGACAAGGTTGACGGGCCATTAAAAGAACAAAGGAAAGGTGATGGGACACTAAGAAAACCAAGGAAAGGGGGCTCTGTGCCAGATGACAAATGAGTGGGACCCCTCCTCCTGCTCTCAAAAAGTTAGATGGACAAAGCCTGAGTTTGAGGGCAGAGTTTGCTGTGATGTGACCTACAGTGGCCTTATGCCTGCTATTATCATGGACTTTCTTCCCACAAGGTAGCCTTCTTTCCGTACTCTCCTACCATGCATCCAACCAGGTTGCAGGGCCAAAAGCAGTATCTCAGGGTAGTGCTGGTGACCACTGAAGTGTCACCCCCAAGGGGATTTCCACTGCAGGGATACTCCCACCAAACCAACCACCGCCTCTGTAGTCTTAACAGAGCTCATTATGAGAGTTCTCACCAAACATTCTCACTCGGATACATCAGATTTCTCTTCCAGCAACAAGTTTTCTTAGCCATTACACTATAGTAGCTCAGACTTTTTCAGTTGCAGTTGCCCCCATCCCCACTCATCTCTTCTTCCTTTTACTATTCCATATTTATTAAATGCCACTAAGAGTGCACATGGGGCTATAAAGAGCACAGAAGTAATAATGCCCATGTCTTCAAGGCTTAGAATCCAAATAAAACAGAGATGACAAACCTGAAGGAGAGGTAGTTAAGCACTGATAAACAAGATTTAAGAATAGAGCAGCCTTTTCTTTCTCTCTATTACAATTGCATTAAAAAAACCAATCCCCCACCCCCTTAAGTAAAGTAGTCTTGCAGCCTGGAATCAATCTGCTTCTCTTCTGGTCCCTTGGTGTTCATGCTAGCCCTCAAGGAAGAGGAGCCCCTTCCTTTGTCACCAGCTCTGAAACCAAACAGGCTGTTAGTGGAACAACAGATTGCTCCATCCCTTCACCAATATATATTATATTATATATATATATATATATATATATATATATATATATATATATATATTACTAGCCTGCTAAGACTCTAGTAGTCTGCATTTCCATGTTAACTATTAGTAGATAAATAGGTACCACTCCAGCGGGAAGGTAACCAGAAGCGGTTTAGTCATGCTGGCCACATGACCTGGAAGCTGTCTGTGGACAAACGCCGGCTCCCTTGGCCTATAGAGCGAGATGAGCGCTGCAACCCCAGAGTCGTCCGCGACTGGACTTAACGGTCAGGGGTACCTTTATCTTTACCCTGCAGGCTAGCAAGCTGTGTGAGCTTATTTGCAAGCCCGTATGAAAAGATTCATAATTTTCTCTTATTCCTGGGCACTGTATGACTATCTGCTAGCTAAATTTAACCTCTGATCTGGCCAGGTCTCCGAATAAGGTAGAGGGGACATCATTGCTGCATCAATGCATTGTGGCTGCATTGAAAGACAAGGCTCTCAGGCATTTCACATGCTCAAAATGGTTTGAGACTCCTTTATTGCAGTTCACCCTCCACACACACACTCGGACTCATCTCCACTGTTATCCTTCAAATTCCCCAAACAGTCCTTCTGGAAGACCCTTCAGCCTACTCTCTTCTGACTTCTTTTCACGAAAGCATTTGTGGGGGAATAATTGGAGGGAGGTGTTGCAAAGGAAAATAAGTGGTGGGTGGGGCAAGGGTTAGGCTCACACATTTGCCCACACTTGCTGCAAAGCAAAGACAGGGTCAGAAATCTGTCAAACACAAAGTTCCAGCCTAAGTCTCATTTGGTTTGGTTCACTGCCAAACACGTAATTCCAGCCTAAGTCTCATTTCTGGTGCCAGCTTGGTCAAAATATTAATTGGATGAAGCATCTCATTAGCAAGGAAATGTAGCTTCCAAATCTTATGGTTAAAAACATAAAGCCAAAAGCAACAACAACACATTGCCATTAAAATCTCTTCTCCTATGATATACTTATAGCCTATTTCCGTAATAGCTTGGCAAGGGAATAACATTATGGAGGCTATAAATATCTCCCAGGGTGCTGCTTTGTTTCTTGCTAATGCTGCTCTGCTGGACAATAAATCCAGGAAGGGTGATGCCTGCTAGTGTAGCAGGTTGGTCCAACAACAACCACTGCCACAAGTGCAGCTGAGTCTATAGCTATCAATGGAGCATATAAGGGATGGAACCTGGGAAATTTGAATGGTCAGTCATCATGATGGCTGATTCTAAGAACTGGCAGAGCCATGTTGGGAGGAGCCATTAAGTCAACCAACCACGCCTTTTCAACTCTGCTGAGACAGGAAAAAACAACAACAACTAGCCCTTAGGTAGACAACATGGTACCTCCCTCCACAGATGTTGCTGGACTACAACTCCCATCATCCTCAGACATCATGGCCAATGGTCAGGGATGATAGAAATCATTGCCCAACAACTTCTGGAAAGCACCTCATTGGCTACCCCTGAATTAACAAGAAGAGCATTTATTTTTGAAAAACATTTAAATATCATCTCTCACTGAAATGAGGTGCTGTACATGATACATAGATAGATAAATACAACACTCACTGTCTCTCTCTCTCTCTCTCTCTCTCTCTCTCACACACACACACACACACACACACACACACACAAACAAACAATAAAGCACAGCTGCAATCAGATAACTGACTAAAAAAACATTTTAGGAAGGTGGCAGAATGCCATCAAGGATGATACCTAACTAAGTTTTGGTTCCATAAAAAAGGTGCCACAACCAAAAATGCTCACCCCTAGTGACTGCCAGTTGAACTTTTATTACCTGTGGCACCACCAAGAGGGTCTCACTAGATGACTGTAGTGGAAAAAACCAAAAATGATCCTACAAAAATCAGAACAGATGGACATTTCAGCCAGGCCTGTGAAAACAGCAGCACTTAAGTGGCCTATACTATTTTGGAAAGTTCCTGCAGACAGCTACTTGAGGCCACAATGGCACCAGCATCATGTCCCTGGATCAAGTCAAAGTTTCCCTTCTGCTAGTCGCTTCTATTTGTTTAAAACAATTAGCTATTCTCCATGTATACGGAGGGTGCTTGTGAGAGTTCAGCATTGCAGAATTCCAGTTTTCTCATTGTTTTCACCATGTTCCACTTCATCTCACTCTGAATCCATTTATGCGGTCTCTTTTTTTAAAAAAAAAGGAAGGGTGAGCCTTTTAAATTGATATGGACCTACAGAATTAATATTACATCAATAATCTTATTTGGTATCCTAGACTTTTAGTTGCACGTTACAAGGTTCATGGGCAAACACTACTAAATTAAGCAACTGAAGTTATGACTTTACACCAACATTTTCCATTTGACAACTAGCTAGAGTTAGTAATCCTGAACCTTACTGCTGAGGTGTGGGGTGGACAGGTCTTCTCATAAGGTGATATAATTATTAATCATTATAATTATGATTAGCTTTCAATGATACTCAGATCAAAGACATGCAAGTTCCCCACATACTACTGAAAAAATTAAAGAGATTAGCACTGATGCTGCTCTGTCATTTTGTCTAGATGCTCAGGTTGGTAATGCCATACAACAACTGTTCTGTACACTTTGTCCTTCTCAATAGAGTCTACAGAGGTATAGAATCCATACACATCCTTCTGTTCACCATACCCCAGAGGGGTGTAATTCATTGCTTTCATTCCGCTCAACATAAATGTCAAGGCAACATTATCACATGTGGGAATATAAACGTAATTGCTTTGAACTCCTGGGCTATAGCTTCGTCACCGGAAGAGGAGTACAGATATGACCTGGATACTAATCCAGTATGCCAGAGATTTGCCCTGGAGCTGAAAGTTGATCATAACTAGATCCTTAATTATTTCAAACATGGAGGGTATTGGAAGAAAGAGGTTATAAGGCAAATAAGAAGATATTCTTTCCATAAATCTTGTTTAACCAACATGTCCCTGAGCTAAGAATATGAAATTGCACAATATGCATAACTAGAGTTGCTTCCAATATTATTCAATATTTGCAACACAGTGATAGGAGATAAAGCATAAGACAGTATTTGTTGCAGTATTAATAGCTGCTAAGCAAGTCTTGAACTGGTCAATACAGACCAGTCATGGTTCAGTGGTAGAGCATCTGCTTTGCAAGCAGAAGGTCCTAGGTTCCATCCCTGGCATCTCCTGTAGGGCTGGGAGAGACCTCTCTGAAATCCTAGAGAGCAGCTGAAATCCTAGAGACCAGTTAGTGAAAGCAACCGTTTGCTAGAAGGACCAATGGTCTGACTCATGCTCCAGTATCTGAATAAGAGTTCCAGTCCTCCTTTCTTTGCTTTTTGCTCTGGAGCTTTCACCATGAAAACCCTCTCTTTACTGCTGAATCAGAGCTGGAGCATCACACGGGACTTGGCCTCGGTGGGGGAAGCTTCTCCTCCTCCTCGACTGTCCTCCAGCAGCCGCTATCAGCTGCCCAAGGGAGGAGGCTGGTAACAGCAGCCATGGAGAGGCAACAGGATGCTCTCTCATAGCTGCCACTGCTGCTGCTGCCGCCACCACCGTCACTTGGTGTAAGTGCTGGCTCATCCTTCTTCCTGAGCTCAGCAGTGGCAGCACTGGTGGGGGAAATACGGAAATTCTGGGATCAAATCAGAAGCTAGGATGGGTTTTGTAATTCCAGGGCTGTTCCTAGAAAACAGGGATACTGGGAGGGTCTGCATCATGTAAGTCACCCTGAGTTCCTCAGAAGATGCACACACAATAATGCTAATTGTTCAAGTCCAGGGGTCAGAAAAATTTTTCATCAGGGGGCCAGTCCACTGTCCCTCAGACCTTGGGGGGCAGACTATATTGGGGGGGATGAATGGATTCCTATGCCCCACAAATAACCCAGAGATGCATTTTTAATAAAAGCACACATTCTACTCATGTAAAAACACGCTGATTCCTGGACTGTCTGTGGGCCAGATTTAGAAGGCGATTGGGCCGGATCCGGCCCCCGGGCCTTACTTTGCCTACCCATGTTTAAGTCTTTTCACAAAAATGGATGAGCTACTAAACTTAACCCAACTTTCCCCAAGCTGAGAGGAGCTTGCCTAAGTAAGAACTCAATAAGAAACATAACTTTTGGTCTACTCTGAGCTCTTCCTCTATAAGGTTTGGAACTTGGACCCTCTAATTGTTTTCTTTGATGCACTGTGCAAACCTGAACATGACATTCATGAGACTTTGCACATATCCTTTCAGTTCCAGCAAGAAGAGATGTTATCTGTGGAGGCATCCAGCTGAGTTAAAAAATAAAACTCTGAAACAGCAGTTACGAAGCATAAAATGCAAATAACACGCTGCAAAATGACAACATTTAGTTGCAGGAGGGACTGAATTCCTAGAAACAACCAGCCAAATATGAATTTTATATTAATGGGCCAAAATTGGCATTTAAGTAAAAATCCAGGCTTATAGGTGTTGGTAGTATCAGAGGATGAAATGGTAAAATTGAACACTATGGGAGTATTAGGTTGCAACTAGGAATGCTGTTGACTTCTGATAAAAAGGGAAACAGGAGTGTAAATTGCTGATGTTTGCTTATTTCATGTCTAGAACTGTTTTCAGTTCACAAATATGTAATTGATGACATTTCCCCCCAATTGCATTGGAAATTGTTTCCAGTCATTGGAAAGTGTTTCCTTTAGATTGAAATGAATGGAGCCAGTGTGGTGTAGCAGTTAGAGTGCTGGACTAGGACCTGGGAGACAAGGGATTGAATCCCCACACAGCCACGAAGTTTGCTGGGTGACTCTGGACCAGTCACTCACTCTCAGCCTAACCTACCTCACAGGGTTGTTGCGAGAATAAAATAGAGAGCAAGAGATGTATATATGCCACCTGGAATTCATTGGAGAGGTGGCATATAAATGAAATTAATAAAATGCCGTGGAATAATGTAACAACACAATTAACTGTGTCTTTAAGTACATAAAATTCCTACATAGTCGACAGCTAGACAATTATTGTAGTTTTTGATGGAAGCCAAACTGCAGCAGAATGGAAACTGCGCTGCATGTGGCAAATATGGGATGGAATGAAGAAAGATGTCTCCTTACTTCTCTAACTGCAACTATACTTAGCGTTATACAGATATCAGTGGGATTTCTCTGTAAGCAGAAATAGGATCAGAATGTTAGGCTGTTTCCAGGCAGAAGATTTTGTTATCAGGCACATTGAATATGTGTACCCAACACATTCTAGGTTATTTCTTAATGCCTTTGGTTGCTGCTGAACCATTCTATTTCATATTTTCTGTGTTAAGATCCACCCCAGAAACCTGAGAGAGAGCCAGAATTTAGTGGTAGAGCACACACTGTGAATGCAGTAAGGTTCCAGTTTCAATCCCTTCCACAGCCCAGCAAGGGCATGATCAGCAAATGGAACCTGGCCAGTTTTGCCATGGCTTGATGATTATTGCTATGTGGTAACATGGTGATGGCACCAATGTTGTGGAATGTGCTCCCTGCTGAAATATGAGTTGCACCATCACTATTGGCATTCTGCTGGCTCTTGCAGACCGACTCCCTCCACTTGAACTTCCACTTATGATCCAGTTGTTTTATTTGCTTTTAAAACTAGTTAATCGTTATGCTTTTTAATAAGCTTATTTTATTGCATATTTTAAATATGGATGCTTTTAATGTTTTGATGGCATTGCTTTGTTGTGTGTTTTAATTATGCATGGGTTTTATAATTGAGTTTAAGCTTGCAAACAGAAGTCATTACGACATATAAGTGGAATATCAGTGTATTTCAAACTTGGACTATAACTCCCGGACCATTTGTCCGGCTAGCTAGGGATGCTGGGCATTGTAGTCCAAAAACAGATGGAGAGAGACCCAAGTTTGAGAAATACTGTCATATAAATCAATAACGATAATCTCTGGTATTTCCAGGTATGACTGTGAAAGACTCCTGTCCTGGAGACTTTCCCCGAGTCCTTTTAGATCATCTTTTCCCAACATGCTGCCCTTCAGAAGTTTTAAACTACAAGTCTCATCAGCCCTAGTTCAAAACAGGGGGGCTCCAGGTTGGGAGAGCCTGGTATAGATGATACAGTGTTGGACGGACCAATGCTTTAACTTGGTATAAGGCAACTTCCTACGTTCTTAACCTTGCTCTTTAAAAACAACATTATCAGTTACTCTCTAGAAGACATTGGATTCTGTTCTAGAAAGTAAGATTCCTCACTTTGACTTTCAGTGAACAAAGGTCCCTTTTCCACAAGTCTGTCATAAGTCCAGAATTAAATGCACGCTATAGGGAACATTGTGTCCCTCCAACACCTTGGTATTTTTATCTAGGGAAAGTGGATGGAATGGCCTCTGCTGACTACAACTACAGTGAAGAATTTACTCAAAGCCAGCAAGAACAGAATCCATACAAGGTAGATAAAAGGCAGCACTTTGAATTGGATCCAAAAGGTAAATGTGAGCACAATTTTAAGAGAACTATCGTGCTATATTGCCTGCAATAAAGGACTTCTGAGTTAAGTTCACATAGATACCAAGGATAACTTGCTTTCCACTGGTTCCTTACTGGATTAGGAAAGTGCTCCAGCAATTCCACCTCAATATCATTTCATGCATGTTGAGACAGCAAAACAACACACATGCACACAAACTGAACTTTGGCTATTTGTCCTTGAGAAAAACAAGCTAAAAATCAGTGCTCAGTAGATGCCTGATTGCAGGCAATTTACAGAGTACATAGAGTGCTTACTTCTAAACCTGCCGCACAATCGTCTTTGACTGAAAAAATAAAGCAATTTTATTGTTCTTGGTATCTGGAAGAATATGCCAAGATATAAGAAGAATTAACTTTTGCTAACATCCATCAGAATGATCAGACTAGGGTTTTGTTTGGACAGTCCTTAAAAGAAAAAGAAGAAAGAAAAAACCATCACTGCTGCTGCTTATTGGGCTAAACATTTTTCAAACAGCAAGGCTACTCTGATTTTATGAATCACTACACCGACTGATAATAAGGATTTGGGATGGATCATAATGGCGGCTGCATGCCCAGAGTAATGGAATGAATCCAAAGCATCATAAGCGGAGGGAGAGCAGCTGCTAGCACTGTCCCATAAAATGCTTGCACAGATGCTAAGTGGAATGTCCTGTTCTGGTCTTGCAGAGGCCAAAGGACAAGGCAGCAAGGCAGGTTGGTTGTTGCAGCACCATGGAGAGTTCCCAGTTGAAAGTGATCTGAGGCTTCTAAAGCCTCAGTTTCTTGCCCACCTCCGCAATGCTCTACCAGGTTCTGGAGAACCCAGTTTTCTATGGGTCAACCCCTGAAGTCAGGCACTTCTCCTGAGACCTGTGGCCTCCCTGAGATCTGTGGCCTCCCACCTGGTGCACTTCTACGGTTGGACTGATGAGGTTACGGAATGACTTGTGGAGCAAGACTGCCCATTGCTAAGGCTACATCCTCAAAACATTGTGTACATGCACAGTGAGGAGCCCATTACTGGAGCAGCCATTCTCACCAGATGTGGCACGGCCACAATGCACAAAGCAACTGTAAGGCGCAAAGTGAGTTGAAGAGGTTATGTAATAGGAAAAGAGATAGAAATGAGACACCCACATTCCATTTCAGAAGATCAGCGAGCAGACACATACCTCAACCCTCCTGCTTAAAACCACACACAACTGTTACTCAGAAGCTCCAGTATCTGGCCATCACATTGGTACTACAAGTAGAGTAAATGTGTTACAAACAATTAACTGGACCCAGATACCAGATGAGCAGGCAAGAGATACAGATCTATTGGCTTTTAAAGAAAATGGTGACCTTTTCCCCCTGTGAAGATTGCACTGTGCTAGCTATTATGAGATTTAAAAATTATTTTAATTATTTGTGTAAGGGTGGTACCTGACTAAACAGTGAGATGAGCACAATGACTTTGAGCTGCATAGTGTAAGTTCCTCCTCTCCTCTCCCAAGACCTGTAACCCAACTGCAAGTCCTCTAAATCTGTTCCAGGGGTTCCCCCTAACCCTGTAGAGCAGATATAGGGCAATGTGTGGAGTGTGGAAAGGGCAGGGGAGTTACATTACACAGATTAAAAAAATGCTGCACTGTCCTAACCACTGGATAGCACCCAAAACATTTTTTTAATATATCAAGGGAGCTTACATAGAAGACCAGGTGTCTTCCATTAAGACTCAACATACCCAGCAAGGTCACTGCATTACATGCTTTCAGACTGTGGCCTGGAATGTGCTACTTTTAAAAAATGAACGTATTATTCCCTCTAATAGCAAACTCCAGTGGTAAGTGGCAACTTTTTGTTGCAAGTCTCCCTTGTGCTATTTAAACCTGCATCCATTTAACCTTGCATCCAAGGGCCTTGAGACATCTTTCCCTCCTCTGCGCTGAAATCTTTTGTGTGTCTCGCATCCTACAGTCAAAATCCTAAATGGAATCCCTGCCTTCCTCTATGCTTTTCAAACACCATGTGTCTAAGATTTTAAGGAAGAACTGAAATAGTTTTCTACCCAATGGCAGCAGACATGCAATGAGACAGGATGGGATGGACCAGGCCAACTTGGCTCAAGTAAGATGCCACTTTAGTTACGTCTCTGTCAACACCAAGTATCCTACCATAGCTAGAGAACATTTGTAATACTGGGGCTTGAGCCTGGACAGAGAAGGTAAAATAATTAAATAATATGGGTTACTTTAGTTTGGGGAGCGGGTGGCACTGTGGGTTAAACCACAGAGCCTAGGACTTGCCAATCAGAAGGCTGGCGATTTGAATCCCCACAATGGGGTGAGCTCCCATTGCTCGGTCCCTGGCTCCTGCCAACCTAGCAGTTCGAAAGCACGTCAAAGTGCAAGTAGATAAATAGGTACCGCTCCGGCGGGAAGGTAAACAGTGTTTCTGTGCACTGCTCTGATTTTCCAGAAGCGGCTTAGTCATGCTGGCCACATGACCCGGAAGCTGTACGCTGGCTCCCTCGGCCAATAAAGTGAGATGAGTGCTGCAACTCCAGAGTCGGTCACAACTGGACCTAATGGTCAGGGGTCCCTTTACTTTAGTCTACATTTTGCAGTAGATATCTGGGATTAAAGCTAAATAATTTCTTGTCCAACCCGTAATTGTCTAATGACTGGGAGATTTCGCATCATTAGTATTTCAAAAAAGCAAAAAGCAACTGTTGAGTCATCATGCGCTCCTCTTACCTGGAAAATGTTTATAAGAGGAGAAGGCAAGCAAAACTTAATATATGCAATCATTGAATATTTTCATTTTTAAGAACATGAACCCCGATGTAAACAAACCTGAAATAAAATTCAATCAGAACCCATTCAAGAGCAGCCTCGAGTGTTATGATTTGTCACTGAAGAAGACCAAACAGTCAAAACACATTTGGCAGTCTGAATTGTAATCTGTTTAAGCTGTGGCTGGCTAGTTAAATCATTCTCCGGCTTATAACAAGCATATGTATTTTATTAGTGGGTTGAAAGATTTCATATGTTTTGTATACTGCATTTTTATATGTTTTATGTATGATAAACCAATTGAGTAAAATTTGCTGGATTTTTATGGTTCCTGGTTATTTTTGTGTGTGACTTAGATTTGAGCTTGATCCATCAGCCAAATGCTTTTGATATGCAGGTTCTGTTTTTGCTCCTTCACTCTGTACAGCTTGCCAAACGCTCCCTATTTTGAAGAGGTGCCTCTTATTTTAAACAGGTTTCACCTCTTTATTTTTAGATCATTACAAGGCCATAGAAGGAAAAAAGAACAGACAGCAAAGTGCCACAGCATCCCTCATTTCTGAAATGCAGTTCTGGCACCCTGACCCCTGCAGAGGCACACAAGGCTTGCAACACAAGGCACTCTGTGCAAGAAACGAGTTTTGCTTAAAGCTCCTCTGCCAATTTGTTCATTTTAAAGACTACATTTCAGAGACATGAAGGGCTTGGTATGTTCCGCACAAAATGTACCCGTGGAGTTAGAGGACAAATGATCTCTCTTCTGTATACCTGCATAAATCCCCTGAAGTTAATGGAACGTTGCTAATTTACAGCAGCTGGTTCCAGATGTGGAAAAGATCTCATGCTTCACACAGTCCAGATCATTATCAAGGAGACCAACACAGGAGGCACTCTGTTCCCAAACTGCCAACCATTATCATTTGAAGTATCTCTTTCTCTCTCACACACACAGGGTGCCATACATTTTGCTTTATCCGTTTTCAAAGGGATCTGCAAATACATGCAGTTCATCCCCCTAGGATTGTGTTTTATGAAGGGTGGTATATAAAACTCCCTAAAAAAACAGAATAAATAAATACTTGGTAAGGGATGGGGATGGGAGAGAGAGAGAGAGAGAGAGAGAGAGAGAGAGAGAGAGAGAGAGAGAGAGAGCGCCTGCCTGCCTGCCTTCTGAACTATCGCAATCTCATTCCTACATTTTCTATGTTGTGCCTGGCAAAGTACCGGTGATAAGTAAATAATCCAGAGTGGCAACTGGAGTAAAGATAAATCTATTGCCTTCAGTTGCATGTATGCATATTGAATTTGCATTATGCTAACTCTATATAGATATATTTAAAAAAATCAATTGAAGGATTTTTGTTTGGAGCTGGGTGAGTCTTGATTTTTAATCCAGGGGTGGTGGTGGAGAATTCACCCAATGAACTGCAGGACCTAATTATATGTGGAACATGAAATCAGACATGGAAAGTGAATCATATGTGGGTGGGGTAAATTAGGTGCTCTATTGTAGCACTCTTCGGACCCATATTACTCATGTGCAGGTCTACTGATAAGTTGGCTATGATATTACTATTTGACTGTAAGAGGAAGAGTTGTATCTCAATGGTAGAACATCTGCTTTACATGCAGAAGGTCCAGGGTTCAATCCATAGCTGTCAACTTTTCCCTTTTCTTGCAAGGAATCCTATTTGGAATAAGGGGATTTCCCTAAAAAAAAGGGAAACGTTGACAGCTATGGTTCAATCCCTGCTGTATCCAGGTAGGTCTAGGAGTAACTCCGACCTGAACCCCTGAAAAGCTGTAAAAATCAGCATAGATCATAGTGAACTAGATGGACCAACGGTCTGACACATTTTTTAAAAATAAAACAAATTAAATAAATAAATTGTATTAATATTATGTTGTGACAATATGTAGCAAAAACAATTATACATCAAATACCCTGGCTTCTCATACAAAAAAGGAGAAAACAAATGAAATAAAAGAGAGAAAAGGAAATGACATTTGAAGAGGGAAGAAAGGCAAAATAACAAACCCCCCCTACAATAATACCAATAAAATTTAAAGGAAAAATATTGTCATATTATTTCATTCCAGAAATGGAAAAAACAAGGCCAACCTCTCCATAAATTTATTTCCTTGATTATTTAGTATGTGTTTCTGTCATGTGTAAGTTTTATCATTAAGATAGTTTGCCAAGTTTTCCTTAATCAGTTATTATACTGGGATCATTATTTTTGTGCAATACACTGGTCTGACACAATTCAAGGCAGCTTCCTATGATTCCCCAACTGAGGGAGATCCTAGGGGGATCATATTACTTTGAGGGTCAAGCTCAAACCCACTTCTGGACCAGAATGCTAGTGTGGTACAGTAGACATAGTGTGGGGTTAAGATGTTGCAAGCCAAGTTCAAATCCCCACTCAGCTCCGAATCTCACTGGGTCACCACAAATAACTCAATCAGCCTAACCTAAGCCACAGGGTTGTTGTAAACTGCTACCGAGTGCTGGGAAAGGAGTTTGTAACAAAATAATGAAAAAGCCATTGTTGAAAGGCAGTGAATGGGGGCTCCTTCCTTCACCGTGTGCCAAATCCAGGCCACATACTTCATTCAGGCCACATGTTTACAATAGTTGTATGAACTGATTCAGTGTCACCTTGGATAAATTGCTTCTCTGTTCTCCCCTGTGCATCTTTTGCCCCCTGTGAAGGACATGAGAAGGGAACCTGTGGCCTTTCAGATGTTTGATGAACTACAACTCCCATCATCCTTGGCCATTAGTCAACTTTGCTGTGGCTGATGGGAGTTGTAGTTCAGCAGCATCTGGAGGACCAAAGGTTCTCCAACCCTGCTCCAGAGTGGAGTAATAGAGGTACCATTTTAAATGCACATTTCCCACAAATTTGCAATGTTGCTATATTGGTTGAGTTTGGCTTTTTGTCAAGGTATGATCTTTGTTCACCAGCAAAAGGATCACCTGTCTTTTCTTACAGAGAAACCACCCACCTGCTTGTACAGGAATACAAGAAAACAGAGACACAACACAGAACAGGAACCATAGATCTATGTGGACCAAGATGCTAAGAGATTATCCAACATAGATTTATACTCACATCTACCCACATCTACAAGACACTCTATGTCTCTCAGTCATCAGAATACTTTCGATCTCTTTTTGATGAGATTAGCACTTTACCCCACAGCACCCCCTGCTGATCTCCTAGTGCCCCAGCATGCATTCCCTGTTGCTGCAGATTCTCAGAGAAAATCCAGTGGAAGCTCTAACCGGAAACGTAATCCAAAAAAATGAAAGGGGGAAATAGATGAGTGGTATAATGCTGTCCCTGTTAGTTGCTTCAGCATGCAAACTGGGACTCTGCAGGCAACAAGTACCATGATCACACATCATTTTGCAGTGCAGAGAGAGGGCTGCAATCTGTACTGGAACATGAGCCCCGTAGTATGGGAGAAAAACAGAGATCTCCGGAAAATGGAATATCAACAGAGAAACTCCACAGTTAATTGCCTCAAATCTGACCTGGACCCCCTCTCTGTTAACCCTTGAAGGAAGCTCCTTCCCTTAGTGAATTTACACTTCTGCCCTGCTCTGCCTTTCCAGCCCCACACTTGCCTTCCATACCACCTCATGAAGCCCCACTTAAGGCTGCATGATTGGCATGTGCTTCCAAGGTCACAGCTAGCATGGAAGCACAAGGATGCACCCGCCCCCTCCGATCTTTCCCAATTTATTATCAATGTCTACTTTTACCAGCAGAACTCCTTAAGTGGGAGTTAGTAAAACAGTAGCATTTCCTTCCTCCTTTTGGAAAGCAGCCCTCCCTTCCCCACCTTCCCACCTGCGTGCTAAATTTAAAGGAAACATTTGTGAAACGTATTGATGAGAACCACCATCTACCATTATTCCACAGCCCGGCTTTATACCCTCCCACTCCACACTGCTACAAGGTGTGGAACTGCCGCCGGCTGACAAAGGTCTGCTCGACACAGGTGGCACACTCCCCCACTGCAAATCCCGTGCGTGCACACAAAAACACGCAAGCATAGAACATGCAGCATTGCTCATCACATTTCAGCACACGAGTAAGCCACGACATGCTCAGCTAGTCATCATGTAGACACACACACATAGACATGCATCCAGGAATATTACATGTCATGGATGTCAAGTGCCACCATCATGTTTGCATGCACACACACACACCCCTCAATGTTTGTTTTTAGACACATAACACAGATATATGCTCAATAGTTTATGCAAAACACTAATATACAGTGCTTAAGAGCACAGCGTCTTCCTGGAGTGTGCTTCAGGAAGACTGCAGAGTACAACCCAGGAAATCGGAACAAGGCTTCGAACATGAGTCTCAGCCATGTGAGTTGGCAAATATCCTAAGTTTTCTCCAGCTACGCAGCACATCTCCTCCCAGCCCCCAGAAACAAATGCTTCTACATTCAGGCAGGTTATTGACCTGGCTTTTTATTCATTTTTCTGTCTAGAAATGGTTAGTTTTAAGTGATTTCACCCACAGCCTTTGTTCCTCGTTATCATGTTTGGTTGGATTTCACATCATTGTTAACTACCTTGGACACCTTCACAGCAATGCAGGATATAAATCTCTTCAACAAACCTATAAATCCATCATTAGGTCTCCTCCAAAAGGACTCTCTCCCACCCTATTCCTTATGATGTCAAACACAGCTCGGGCTATTCAGACACTCTCTACCATCTCCCGACAGCAGAATGAAACCAGTTGTCCTCAGTCATGCTTGCCTGTCTTTTTGGGATGTTACCAGGGGCTAACTTAGTGGGCCCAAATATGAACCACCCACCCACCTCGCTGCTGCCCATCACCATGGTATCTGACTCCGTGACGCATAAAATCAATAGCAACACAGAACACTCAAATTCTGCTGCCAAGCACAATCACATTCAGTGGCTCCCTTTTCCTCAACACTATATGTAATCACTACAAAAACACACACAGAGAGACACACTGTTGATGGCAATTAACATTCTCTTCCCCCAGCCCTCGTATCAGGAACCAGGTACCAGGTACCAGGTACCAGGTACCAAAAGCACGAGCAGGTACATTTCAAGGTCTTAAGAACTGTGGAGTAACCAAGAGAATTGCCAAGGCTGGCTGGGGCTCTGTATTGACAGAAGCAAAACAATCGCTGGCATTTGGGGGTGTTGCACAAAAGAGGTAAATAAGAGGGAAGACTACTTCCTCTGCATACATACACACACACACACAAACACAAAACACAAACAAGCATCCTATCCATCTCACTTGAAATAGCGAGTACGGTAAACTGTAGAGTCTCTCCATTTCATACTTCATTGTTGAAAGCCAACACTCCCCAAGGCACTCGTGCCATTGGTTAAGGCCCAATACGGCTGCTTTTTCTTCCACCGGCACAACGCTGGACTCACCTGGGTGTCAATGGAAGGGAGAACAGCTGATGCCCGGGCAGACGCTCCCCCTTGCCATGGAGTACTTGTCCAAAGAAAGCTTTGCGATGAAGCCTGGCTTAATTGCTGTGGCAGGTCTTTCTTCTTTCCCTTGTCTTCTTCCCTTTACCACCCACCCCCCTCCTTTAAAATAAAAAAAGGAAAGAAAGAAAATCCTCTTTATGCAGCAGCCACCGTTCTCCCCATAATGATCACTGATGCGATGCCCATTCATTCAGCTTTTCCTCCCCCTTCCGCCTCTCTTTCCCGGTCTCCTGGATTGAGGTTGTTAGTGATGCTGCAGCAGTGCTGAGTGAGATCCCCCTGAGAGTACAGTGAAGAGAGGTTGGGAGGGGGAGAGAGAGAGAGAGGGAGAAAAAGGCAGAGATGCAAGAGAGAGAGAGAAAGAAGAAGAAGGAGGCAGGCCCCAAAACCAGATCTGGATTTGTAGGAGCCTGGAATACTACACACACACACACACACACACAGAGAGAGAGAGAGAGAGAGAGAGAGAGAGAGAGAGAGAATGGAAACTAGGGCAGGAAAAGAGCTGGGCCAAAGCTGCTGCTGCACATCGTATTATTGTGCCTCTGGCAACCTGAATCATGCATAAGGTCAACGCACCAGAAAATCTGAGGCACTCAATAAGTTATTAGCAAGAAGATGCAGGCAATATAAAGAGGCAGGCGACAGACAGACCCTGCTTGGTTGGAGGCTTAGTCAGTGCTTTCACAGCACGCCTTGATTTTTAGAGATGGGTAGAGCTCCCCGGCTGGAATGAAATAGCCACAGCTCAGCAGCAGGTGAAATCCGGCACGAGATAGTAATAATAAAAATCCAATCCACAAGCAATTGCTGTTTCCTTTCATTTGAGGCATGTATTTTAAAAAGAACAGGAGGGTGGGGAGCCGCTTGCTATTGTTGTGACTGTTCCACAGGCCAGAGAATGACAGCCTGACAAATTAGCAATAATGACCATGACAATAACTCCTTGCATTTCCCAGCCCTTCTGTTTGCAAGCTGCACAGCAGAAAAGGGCAATTAGAGGCTCAGTCCTCAAGTTTTTTTTTGTTTCTGAGGAGCTTCATTGAAGGCTATGGGATTTTGCAGTAGATGGCGATTGAGTCATGGCATGGCATGGTCTGCTTAGGAACAATGTCATATAAAATTCCACTGTTAGCAGCAGTG